TATATATATATATATCTTCTGCCACCTTTCATTGTCGTTTTAATTCTTAACAGATAAATCTACTACTCCCGGTAAGTATTAACTTTTTACTTATTAACCGATTTATTTTTATATAATTTGTTTTACAATACAGATTGTCTAAAAATAATTTACGACTTTTGAAAAGGAATAACAATCAGAATTTGATACTAACTTTTTCTTTAAACCAATATTGTACCTATTTTAAAATTTTATATGGATGAAATTATGAAATCCTTATCAGTCTTAAATTATCAATACATTATATTACTCCTTAAATTTTAGGGGAACAATCTACTACTCCAGGTAAGCTATCTATATTATTATCTATCTGTCTGTCCCTGTATATATGTATCTATAAATTACCTCTGTTACCTTTCATTTTCGTTTTAATTCTTAGCAGAAAAATCTACTACTCCTGGTTAGTATTAGCTTGTTACTTATTAATCGATATATATTTATCTATAAGATGCTTCTAAATATTTTTACAATGCAAAGCTGCTAAAAATATTTTACTACTTTTGAAGAAGAATAATAATCCGAATTTGAAATTGTAAGATTTTTTTGAAATTTTGGTTACTATAAGTAGTTTTTAAATACTTAATATGAAATTGGTCTTCTTAAATTCATTCATACCGTTTCCTTAAACTGTTCATTCAAATATTGCATGGGAAAGTTCACCGAAAATTTATATTCTATAGAATATCCAACACTCAGTTAATGAGTTATATTGGGCTGTTCTGCAATACTATAAACTAATGTTATTAATGCTATTGAGCAGTTTTTAAATTGAAGATGTAAAAAAAGTTTTTGGAAGACATATGTACCAAGGACATTTTTTCTTCTATTGTAGTTGTTAAAGAATCGGGATAAAGTTATTGCTGTTCCAAACTTGCCAAGATTTAAAATTGAAAACACACTGATTATAAAATTTTAGTCTACAAAGCACATAACATTGCTCTTTTCTTTGTTGGACATTGCTCTTTTCTTTGTTGTATTCCATATTTATTAAAAGATCTTCCTTAAGATGTACTTCAAAAATCAATATTTTCTGTAAAGTTATATAATTTTATAACTAAATACTATATAATTACTATATAATTTTTTAACTTATAACTAATACTATATAATTTTATAACTTAATACTATATAATATAATTATAATTACTATATAATTTTATAACTTATACTATATAAAGCTAAATACTATATAATTTTATAACTTATAACTAAAACATTAAATATATTTATGATAAGCAAAAACTCCGAAGGTGACTAAAATAGGCATAATATTCATCCTATAATTTATAAAGTAAGTTAATATTTTAATTAACTTCTTTTCAACAAATGTAACTTTCAATCTCTTTTTCACAGTGTAACGCTCATAAAAAGCCTGCAAATAATTGAATATTGCTTTTACAATTAACATTTAGATAAAAATCCATTCCTTTAATTTCTAGTATAAAAGTTTAGCTAAAATCTTTTGTCTTTATGAAATAGTAATTATTTCTTCTCATAACTCTCCATCATTAATAAATTTTGAATGAAGAGAACATTGACTCTCTCATCTTGTCGATTACTTATATGATTTGGTAATAAAGTTAATGTTCATAATTTTAACAATACAGGATATGAATTATAAGCCTCAATTTTTCTCTTCAACTGAGTTTTTTTTGTTGGATACCTATACCAACGCATGTTTAAAAAATTTACCCTTGAAACAAAATTTAATTTTTTTAAACAAGAATTCACAAACTCCTTTCTTCCATCGCCTCTCTTTAAAAGTTCCGAAAAATTACCCAATGTTTTATTTCAATTTTTCGAAAATATCTGCTATACTAGGTACATTTTAATCTGATAAATAAATTTTTCTCCTTCAACGTTTTATTCATACGTAAAAAAATTTTATTCAATTTCATTTTTGTTTACGGATAACAATTAACTTTTTTTTAATGTGTGTCTTATATTTTCACTTATATTGTGTTAAATTTTTTTCTTTAAACAAAATTATACCTAATAAAAATTTTATATTTATGTAATTATGAAATCGTTATCAGTTTTATTTCAATAAATTTTCTTACTCTTTAAAATTTAGGAGAACAATCTACTACACCAGGTAAGCTAGCTATCCATATTATTATCTGTCTGTCCATTATATATATATATATATATACCT